CGCGCGTGCGGCCGTGTACCCTCGTGTCCTTTCGTCCCAACTCCTTCACGGTGCGTTTCGGAAGCGGCGGGTGCGGGGGAGCGGGGGTGGCGGCGCTGGTGGGCTACGGCGGCGGCGGCGGCAGGCCCGGGGGCGAACGGGGCGGCGTTGTTGCGGTCGACGGTGGGGCTGATGATGGGGCGATGGAGATCGGCGACGGGGCTGAGGATCCTGTGACGATCGGCGGGGAAGCGGGCTGCGGCGGTGCGGTGGTCGCTGGTGCAGGCGGGATGTAGGTGTACGTCCTTGATGGTGGGGGCGGCGGCGGTGCGGCATCGGCCGCAGGTACGGCGGTGGCCGGCGAGGGCGCCGCGGTGACCCAAGAACCCCCCCCCAATGCCCGGCACCGGCGCCGGCGCCCCTGCCCGGCTGTTGACCAACACGACGTTGTTGGTGAGGGCGAGGCGACCGGTGTCAGCGCGAAGAGCGACGGCGGTAGCCGTCGAGTGGTTGTTGGCGCCGTGCAGGTAGAAGCGCCGCGCGGATTGGACGTCCGCCTTCGTGGCCCGCTTCACGCGCATCATCCCCTCCTGGAAAAAGGGACGACGGTGAGGGACGGCTTCCGGCCGAAGAACGCCTCAAACGGCGACATCAAGCCCAGGTTGGCCTTCGTCGCGGAGCGGTTGAAGCAGGCGGATGCCGACAGCGCCGACGCGAGCCACAGGCGATGTCCGTTTACGCCGACGTTCCGGATGGAGGAGAGGTCGACGTGGCCCATGGCGAGGATGTGGCGGCACGCGGCGTGGGCCCCCTTCATGGCGCGCCATATGGCGCTCTCGACCACCGCGTTTTGCTTGGGGGTGTCGGGGGCCGTGTACTCGCGCCGAATGCTAGCAGCGTCGCAGAACGAGATGAACGCGGAGCCGTTGAACTCGCCGCCGTTGTCCATGCGGAAACACCCCGGAGTGCCCATGCCGTTCATGTCGGCGAGGAACCGCTGCACGAACTTCAGGGTGTCGCTCTTGGCCCGCATCCCGTACCCCCTTGCCACCGCGATGCGCTGTCCACGAACATGATCAGGTACCAGGAGCCGTCCAGCGTCTCAGAGAACGGGCCCGTGAGGTCGATGTGGACTTTGCCGAACGGTACCGCCGCGCGGGTGCCACGCCGCGGCACCGGGGCCTGCCTGCCCTTCGCCTCCACGCAGCCCACACATGGCTGCATCCCCCACCAGTCGTACGCCCTGCTGCTTGGCCGTTTCACGCATCGAAAATTCGTTTACATGGCCGGCGGAGGCATGGAACAAATTAATGTCCATGGTCGGCGTACCGAAAACGGGGAAGCATCGGGGGCGATACTCGCCAAGGCATGCGCGAGGGAGGGGGGAGCTACGGTTTGCTGCTCACTGCATCCAGCAACAAAACCCTTCAGGTAATCCAATTCATCACTCATCACGGCAAACGTGGGGGGAGGGGGTGTTGCAGAGTCGCAAACATCAAGCGCATCCGGAAAAAAATCACCCTGTGGGACCTAGTCTATTCCATCCATCAGGCCTACATCAAGGAACATGCTCATATCCATGAGAGGCAAATGGTCCTGGGGGACGAGGGGGTTGATCTCAACTTCACGAAAATCGCTCGGGTCAACGACGGAGGGAGAAGAAATCTCAGACGAAGCTACGGCAGCTGTGAGTACAGGCTGGTAGTCGGCAATAATCATTGGCACTACATCTACGTCGAATGGCGGGAATGCACAACGCGGGATCACTACACCGGACGTGGTGGATGGGACGCTCGAAATCGCACTCGCAGACGAAGGTACAACACCGGCAGCGACTCCACCGGCGGACTGGATGCTCGGACTCGCACTGGCACCCGGAGGTACAACACCGGCAGCGACTCCACCGGCGGACTGGATGCTCGGACTCGCACTGGCACCCGGAGGTACAACACCGGCAGCGACTCCACCGGCGGACTGGATGCTCGGACTCGCACTGGCACCCGGAGGTACAACACCGGCAGCGGCACCACCGGCGGACTGGAAGCTCGGATTCGCACTCGAACTCGAAAGTACAACACCGGCAGCGACTCCACCGGTGGACGGGAAGCTCGTACTCGCATGTGTGCCCGCTCCTGTGTTTGGGGGGAAAGGGGGGTTCGCGACAACAAGGCCTGTCCCAACGCCAGGCGGGGGAGCTTGGGGAGGTACACGAGGGAGGGCATCGGGACCGAGGGTCACAGCACTACCGGTATACGTGGGAGGCAAGCGAGTAGCCCAAAGAGAACATCCTACATCGGAGTAAGCAAAGGAAAGCTGGCCATTGAATAGATGCACACCATTTTCATCCAACGTGATTCTCTGCCTACGCTGCGTATGGTGCAGAGAAAACAGACTGAACGTGATGCCGGAGACTACGTACACGTCCGACACCTGCACGCAAAAATCAGTCTCGCCCGAAGGGCCAGGCATGTGAAATGCCATGTTGATGCTACCAACACTTTGCACGCGCAGATAGGCACCATTCCCTACTTGGATCAACTCTTTTCCTGCTGGGATCGGCTTCATGTCGAACATGTTTTCGCTACTNCTGAACGTGATGCCGGAGACTACGTACACGTCCGACACCTGCACGCAAAAATCAGTCTCGCCCGAAGGGCCAGGCATGTGAAATGCCATGTTGATGCTACCAACACTTTGCACGCGCAGATAGGCACCATTCCCTACTTGGATCAACTCTTTTCCTGCTGGGATCGGCTTCATGTCGAACATGTTTTCGCTACTGCTGACAAACATGTTGCTTGCGCCGCTGTCGGCCCAAGATTGCTCTCTACCAATCTGCGAAGGGCGACTCTGAACAGACGAAGCGAAACCACTACCATTCTCACGCGCTACCACACTTGGAAAGATCTCGCCTTGTGACACAAAACGGTCTAAGTGAGATGCCCAGGGGATCCGCCTGCGTCGAGAGGAGGCGAATGGTACGGGGCATGGGTCGAGTGCTGCTGCGGCTGCGGCTGCTGCTGGAACGACGGCGGTGGCGGAGGCTGCAGCGGTGGCTGCTGCTGCTGCTGGTAGTACGTTGTCGGAGGCGGGTAATACGGCTGCTGCTGGAAGCTGTAGTCTGGAAAAGGTTGCTAATACTGTGGCTGATGCTCCCACCCCCCATATTCGTTACCATACGCGGTCCCCTCATGAGGCGCGGCACCATACGGTTGACGTTCATTTGCATGCCCGTACGGGGGCCGCCGCTGCTGCTGCGGTGTACGAGGGGGAGCTGGATGTCCATGATGCTGCTATCCTCCGTAGCCGCCGTGAGGCCCGTGCCGGGGCCCACCCCCCCCAGCCCCCACCACTGCGGCTCGGCTGCTGCGGCGGCGGTCCCCGAGGTTGCTGTTGCTGCTGAGACGGCTGCTGTTGCGGGGACTGTTGCTGTCGTTGGGGCAGCTGCTGTTGCTGAGGCTGCTGCTGCTTGGTCTCCTGCTTCTTCCGNATCCTCCGTAGCCGCCGTGAGGCCCGTGCCGGGGCCCACCCCCCCCAGCCCCCACCACTGCGGCTCGGCTGCTGCGGCGGCGGTCCCCGAGGTTGCTGTTGCTGCTGAGACGGCTGCTGTTGCGGGGACTGTTGCTGTCGTTGGGGCAGCTGCTGTTGCTGAGGCTGCTGCTGCTTGGTCTCCTGCTTCTTCCGTTGCCGACGCTGGGTGTAGCACTCGCTGTTGGTGTGCGACGAGTACGGATGATAGTCGCAGCGCCTGCCTCCGTCCGCCCTGTTGTTGCTGCTCCGACCGCCTCCATTGCCGTCCTGACCCCCGTCGTTCCCACTGGACCCATTTTGGACACGTCCGTCGCCCCGGTTCCCACCGGCAGCGACGAAAGCGTGCCCCGCGCCATTCTGCGGCTCCCCCTCCCGTGCGGTCGCCATATCCTGATGGACACCTTTCACCACCTTTTCAAGGTGCTGACGGGTCAAATTGGGGGGCGGAAGGGCACGCAGCATAGCTTTCTCCATCTTGTACTCGGAAGACAAGTTGTACACAACGTGCAAATTGGCATCATCTTCGGGGTATGTGACGCCGTGTGAGGCTGACCTACGGCGCAAAACAGCAAATCTGCCGAAGTATTCCTGCGGACTTTCACCCACTCGGATTTTTATGGCATGGTATTCCGAAGTCAACCGTGTTTTTTTGCTCTCGCCTGGGGTTCGTAATATGCGGGAAATAGTTTCCAACCCCCACTGGGACTACCATCAGCGATGAGACAGGCATGTAGGTGATTGTCGTGATGATCAAATTCCACGCCGTGATCGCCTTTTCTACCGTTTCAGGTGAGTGCATCCTACGCAAGTCCTCTATGTCTAGTCTACTTCTTCTAGCCCGACTGGAACTGTGGTCACTCAATACCACTTCCCTGACTCCTTGCGCAATCATAGCAATCATGTTCGATCGAAAAATCACCCCTTGCCTATACGTACCATCCCACGGCGCTAGGCGCTTAACCTCAGTCATCCTAAGAGTCGCTGCGCTACTTGGCACTGTACCCACGTCTGCGGATGATATCTGAAGACGGCTGGTTCGCTGGTCAGGGCGTCGGCGAGATTGCGGGAGATGTCGTGTGCGGACGGGCCGGCCGATGGTCGGCCCGCATGTTGCTGATCGCGTTTCTCGTGGTCGTTCCCGCTCCGGCGCTCCGGATGTGATCTGTCCTCTGCTGCTGCTCGTCTTGATGCCTTGTAATCTCGGCCAGTCTGGCTGCTACCCTCTCGTTCACCAACTCGTTGATCCGGGCATCGTCGTCCACTGCTTGACGGTCGCTCTCTCGGTCTCGGGTTCGGTCGGGGGTGCTCATTGGTGACTGCTGCTGATCGCCGCAAAGCGATGTAACTCCAAACTAAGCTCGACGCGAACATCGTTGACGACGTGTCATCAGTGCAATTTCCGTACGTACGTACTGAAGATCTTACCCGTCATACTATGCTACGAGTACCCCCAATATATCTAATTGTGTACTGGTCCACTACTGCACTCTCCTCGATCCCCCAATTCCATCTATGTTCAACTAACTGGTTCTTCCTTGTTCTCGTTACATACCATGACGGCACTCTTCTTAACGTTGGCAGACAATGTCCACTTATATATACTTCTTCGCCGCGTAAATTTCCAGTTGCAGTTGTTGGTAAACTCGTGGCTTCTGGGGAAAATATGTTTTATTGTTGATACCTTGGACCAGGAGAACAGGTCAAAAGGTGAAGTGAGCTAGGGTGGGGAGCACCACAGCACCGCGGCACCGCAGCCACCACCCGTGTCGCTCGACCAGCGCACAAAAGTAGAACACAATAATATCGGAACACAAAGACTCAACAGACAGTGGCTAACGTACTTCACAGCGTGCCATAAATCCTCTGACTGATGCACTAACCACAAGAAACACACTCCGGGTAATGCACCATCCACGAAGAACATTCCTACAAAACGTTCCTTGCTGTTCTGATAATATGTGGCCGCTCAACGATCTTCAACGCAGACAGTCTTGTAATGCAACCTGTCCGATCAAGTTGTTCTACGTCACTCTGTCGACACACACAGCAGTGAAACCGACGTTTCCGTGTCCCCTACTTTTACTCCCTTCCGGACTGCCTCTACGACTTCCAACAGATCGTTGATGAACACCTGGAACAATGTTGGGGGCAGCGTGCAACCTTGTGGGACCCCCTGCTCAATGTCGAAGAATTTTGACAGTTCTCCGTCTAGCATGACCGCGCTTTTCGTGCACTCTGTCATCTTCTTCAGCACTCTCCACATTTTCCCCTTGATCCCGTAATTGGACAGTTGTTTCCACAGCCCATTTCTCCATAAGGTGTCGTATGCCTTTTTCACGTCCAGGAAGAAGCAGTACGTCGGCTTTCCCGCCCTCTTTCTACCTTGCATGATTCTCCCTACCGTGAATACGTGGTCTACGCACCCCCTATTCTTTTGGAAACCTGCCTGGCCCTCACGAATGCTATGTTCCTTCTCCAATACTCCCACTATTATTTCGTTTAGCAGCGTACAGAACACTTGTCCTACTGTGTTCGACAGTGTGACCCCCCTGTAGTTTCCTGGGTCAGTCTTGTCTCCTTTCTG